TTTCCCTTTTCCTTTTTTCGTTTTATTACTATTTGGGCCAAGGATTGTAGAAAGAGATCCAAAGAGAGTGAAGGAGGGTGTGTCAAGGGCCCACTGAAGGAAGGTTAATGAAATCACCCGGTAAAGAACAATAGTCAGGAATTAATTAAGAGCTTTCAAGGGAAAAGAACCATTAATAATAATAGCACCTTTTTAGGGGGGGGGGAAGGGCAAGGAATTATTTCTTTTTTCTTCCTTTAAAAAAAGAACCACTACGGAGCAGTACACCAGACCAGTTGAGACTAGGAGAAGGTTAGGTACGAACTAAAGAGCATCAGCATAGGTGATTTAATAGGAGCACCAATTGAAAATTACCACTGCCATTGAACTTGGAGGGAATAATTGCCTAATGCCCACCAAATGATGTGGTACTACAATAGCATTCTACTCTCGCTACTTGAAACCCACACGACTTCCGCCACTCAAAACAAGTCTACCAAAATGGGCAGATTTATTGTTGTAAAGTCTCGGTGCATGCAAGATTCAAAGCAGCACCCGCAAGACAATCATCCCGGGAGACAAAAGAGGCGGAGAGAAGAAAAGGAAAAAGTGGGGAAAGATCTATCTCAACGCAAGGCGAAGATCCATAGGCTTTCATTCCTTTTACTATGGCATTCCCAAAAGGGCCTAAGAGGAGGAGATGGCGGAAAAGTCTAAGCCTGCCTCTGAAGTACTGTACAATAAAGAGTACTAGGTATTGAGACAGCCTCCCTCATCTTTCGAAGTGACATCCATTGACCAACCCGATTGTCCAAGCTGGAAGACAACAGCGCGGAACAATGACTGTTCGTCAAGATTGATGAATGGGAGGGGGGCCGCTGAAGGTTAGAGCAGCCACTAGTCAAGGCAATGTATGGAGTCGGGAAGTCCCCAGCCCTCGCCTTTCTCCAGATGGTCCCCAGAAGGAGTGAGCCTGGAGAACCGAGAGAAGAGCAGACTTCTCTTCTCGACCTCTAAATTCGACAGTGGTAGTCAAATCCTTGACGGGCGGAGAAGGGATGCGTGTTAAGGTACTCACTCCGTGGAAGTTAAGCTACGTAAAGCGGGTATCAGTGGCATACCGTATTGTGCATACCTCAAGACTGGACTTACTGGTAACTTACAGCCTGTAATCTTGTATTAGCAGTATTACCGTCCCGATCTGAATTCTGAATTGAATTCATGAAGGTCGGGTTCTGGAACAATTGATCCCTACCAACGATCAATCCGCAAGACAAGATGGATAGATCGCATTGGTTGATGGACTTTCTTCCAAGACGACAGTTTTTTTCTTCCTCTCCTTATTCTATCACTTCTCATGTTGCATCCTCCCATTGTGCGTGTGTGTGCATGACCTTGAAAAAAGCGCCCTGCTGAGCCTGTTTTTCCCCTTTCGCTCTCATGAAGCTCAGTCAGAAAGAATGTATGATCTCATCGCCCGGCGGTCGAGTGACTGATTTTTGAACCTTTCTTTTTTTGACGTTTTCCCAGGGCCTGAAAGCCTATCTTGGCGCACTGGAACCAAAAGAGTTTACAGAGTACTCTGTACGGAAATTGATTTACAGTACTTACCGTACCGGACGTGCTGTGACTCCGACTTGTACGACCCCAGACTGCGCCAACGCAAGTGGTGTGTGATGTGGTACCTGTACGGAATGAAACGGTGCTGCCGGGAATCAAGGTCCTGTGCCTTGACTACTTTGGGTCTCCGTTGCTAACTCAGCAGGAGACCAAGCGTGAGCGTGTGTGCGTGTGCCTATGCTTTTTCTACGCCATGGCCATGTCTCCTGCCATCCGGGCGCCCCCACTACCATCAGACAAGAATGATAGGTCTCCGGACACTCCAAGCCCACCTTTGCTGTCTGGCTGCCTGGGTTACCCATTGGATCATTGGATCATTGGATCCCCCGTCCTGGGAACCAAATGATCAAGAGCCTCCTCCTCCTCCTTGTTGTACAGCTGTATGGCCATCCATGGGCTTTGAATGTGAATGACAACGACGATAAATAAAGAAGGACCCGGAGAAGTTAAAAAGAATCCTGTACGAAAGTGGCGCGGGGCCAGATGCCGAAATCCAGATTCAGCGGTAGTATCGATTCCATGGGACCTCTTCTATGTCTTGGCACCGAGGGAAGGATGTTTGGCCAATGCATGTCATTGTATCCGGGAGCTATGTTTGGGTGACACGGGCTGAAGAACATTACTGTGTAGTGATAGAGAACAGAAAAGAGACGTCGATGTGGCGAGGAGGATCTTAACACACTGCCTGTGAGCCAGACAAAGGTAGGCAGGAGAGTAGCTCACAACCCAGCAGGAATGATGTTAAGCTGACGGTCACATTGAGAGCTACTGCTGCTGCTGCTGCTGCTGCTGCTGCTGCTGCTCCCTCCTATTCAGGGTATTTGTTTCAGAATTGAGGGTGGTTTGGATTTTCCATGGTCAATCGACGGACCATCACCCGTCGTCATCGGCAGCCATCCCATGATTGATTAATACCAGGTACCAACGCTGTCACAGGATCACATAACCTCATTTGAATCAGTGGTTCAGCGTAACGGTAGATCATCCGCCGACCAGCCTCGACCCTCTCCCACCCAAGCTTTTTTGGGTTTCGCCTCCCCCAAGAAAGTCAGAAAGGGACCCGAAAACACGCACAACATCTCACAGCCTCAACCAGGAAAGGAAGGAAGGAAGGATCGAGAATAAAACATGGTATGACTTCAGATCATGCAAAACAGGTGGGAATAGTGACAGAGAATAGCTTGATACGGAAGCACAGGTTGACTGCAGTGGTGTTGTTCGGACTTGAGATTAACTAGTTGACTGACTGGGGGTAAAACTGGAAAACCACACGAGTTTCCCCGTCGGGTTGAACAACCCGACCCGGGACCAAGTCACGGGTAGCAAGGTAGACCAGGTAGCTGAGTGATAGGTCCGACTTCATTTACTACTACTACTACTACTACTACTACTACTACTACTACTACTACTACTACTACTACTACTACTACTACTACTACTACTACTACTACTACTAAGTAGTTATATATTTTTACAATCGTTTGGTAGGGCAGATTGCAAGGATGGCAGGCATGGTTACAGCCAGTAGCGAGTAATGCCGCATTGATTGATCGGATGCAGCAGTCGCTAGATCGCGGAAGCAGACTGGTTGGTAGACGGCAAACTGCCCTGTTAAGATCCCAGTCAGTGCCAGTGCAGCATGTCGGCCGAGGCCTAACCGAAACAGACCTACCGGATGATCCTTCGTCTGCGAAGTGCTCTCCAGAGATCCATTGGATAAAGGCCTCCCTTCTTGTGCTGATGAGGGTTTTATCGGCAATACTGGCTCGGCTACTAATTAGCAATAGTAGTCAGACGAGGGGATCATGGTTGAGGCACGGCTGATCAAGACAAGAAAAGACGGAGTGTCAGATCGTAGGGAAACAACAAGAAGACCGCAAGAGTTTCATCAACGAAAGAACTATTGGCTCGCGTTTACCCAGAACCGGATGGGCCAGTCTCTGATCATTCCGGCTCAGTAATGAAGGGATGGAACCAAGGTTAGCCACTGCTAAACTGCTAGTCAGTCCGGAGAACGGATAGTTGACTGATGACGGTTGCCGCCTTCCTTCCTTCCCGATCTCGGCAGCAGACGATTGATACCTAGTGGATTGGTTGCAAAGCCATCTTATTGACTGTGCATCTATTCCCCAAAGCCGGGTTTGGCTGTTGATGGAGAAGCAATCAGATCCAGAAGTAGTAAATAGTTAGTAGTATTTGAACCCACTTTAAGTGTAAGGTGACTAAGGTCAGTACATAGAGGTGGGGAAAGAATGCGCACAGGGCACTCGGACCTCCAAACCCTTCGTGGTAAATCTGCCAACACCGGTACGGAGTAGACTAAACTTGTAAACGAACTGACGCGAAAGACCCCGCGTGGTAAGTACAGAGATACTTACAGTATGGTCCTGCAGGTGCGTTTTTCACATCAGCTCATAGTTAATGTTCGCACCTTGCTGGACAACTGGATCGTCCTAGAGCTGCGTGTCAATGATTGGCGAGGCGGTCCACGTGTAATATGCCTGCAATGCGAAGAAGGAGAGGGCAAAGAGAGCACTGCACCAGAGCAAGATGAATTTACTTGTAGTTCTCACTGTGGTAAGGGTGTTTTCCTGATGAAAGAAAGTGCCTAACGTTTGCCACTGCTGCTGAGAGAAGCGGCCACTGAGGGTAAGATGGGCCCTGCCGTGAGCCTTTTCGCCTTACGACTCGGGTTACCACGATGCGTAGCGCAGCAGGTAGACAGACACACTCGACACTATAACTTCCAGTCTTAGTGTTGCTGCGGTGGCTGAACTCAAGGTGCATTTACTTGCATTGTAGCTTTCTCTTTCCCTTTGCCTTGCCCATACCGATCATTCAGGGCCAGTGACGTAATCGAAGTAATCCAAGGTTGCCCTGCCAGAGATCGTGCCCTACTTGTCATGAGGGCGATATCAGTCGGCCTCACCGCGCGCCCGTCGCGGGTGTGGGCGCGCGCGTGTCCGGAACGGGAAAGGGCAGTACGTATCCATGATACTACTAAAACGTACAGCACTGATATCACTGGGGTCATCCAAATGCGCGTCGAGCCGACGAAATCGTTCTCCAGAAATTTGTTGTCCGGTCGGTCTTTTGATATGTGCTTGACTGCTGGGGGCCATGGATTTCTGACAGGAATGGAGCATGCGCCCTATCATCAACTGCCCAGCATGGTCCGGGTTAAGTATCCTAAGTACTAGCTAGGTACCGCACATTATGGATACATATCTATGCCATGTCCAGTGAAATGCGCCAATCAATCTGTTCCAGTGTCTTGCCTACTGAAACAGGTGAATTATTGCCTAGCAGTTCAACTGAGCCCAGCTCAAACGGGCAATGCGCGAAGCAATGATCCATTGACCTCGATGATGGACTGGCTAGCTGGCTGGTGGGCCTGATCGATGCGAGGGGAGGGATTTCCGGCCGATATCGACGAGAATCTTGTACGTGGTGACATGACAGTACATACAAGGTGTACGCAGTACAGGTAAGTTGGATTACTTTCCGTGTGTACAGTACTAGTGGTTTCTCCAAGTGTAATCAGTATCATACGGTAAGTAATGAGTGAGACGAGGTTCGACTCCGAATTAGGAGACGTACTGCCGGTGCCAACACATCTGAGGCTCTCTAAGGTATCTACAACTTTCTGATTGTACACACAGTACATGTGAACAATAGACAAGGTTTCACCTACCCAGAGGTCTATCATCCTCCCCGCCTTTCTTATAGAGTCTCTGCTTGTCATCGTCCTATTGAAGAACAATACAAAGTACAACAACCTGACTTATTCACTAGTAGGTAGTAACCTACCTAGTACTGTATAACCATCCCGCGTTAGTCGACCACTCACCCACCCCCTTTTCCCTCCCCTAACCTCGTACCTGAAGTTCTGCAGTTCGCAAAGGAGAGCCGGGAGCAAGCAGCTGAAACGTGCCTAGTCCTCACACCTCTACTCTTGAGAGACTCCCCTGTCTCATCATGTCTCCAGTATTCCGGGATGCGAAGACTCGAAGAACCACTTCTCCCCTCCTTTCCTCTTCTATGATCTCGAGGATCCGATCATCCCCTATCGCCGATCAGAGTTCCCGTAAACCCATGATCCACGATCTAGAAAAGATTAAAACAACACATTACTCTTGGGGATCTCAAACAAAAGTTGTCCTCCACACGGCCATCCTTCCTTGACCCTTTGTATTTTGACTTGCTTCCTGGGTTGTCGTCGTAGTAGGAGTAGTCAGCATACCTCGAACCCCAAACTCTATAAATAACCCTCCTTCCCAGCCGGGCGCGATCTCCGCGGAAAGTCCTATTCAGTCCTGTTGCCAGTGTAAAAAAGAAAACGTGAATAGCCACAGAATCACCCATGGCTGCTACATCATAGAGGATGTGGTGGGGTTCTTCTTACTTCCCATCTTGCACGCTTGATAATGCGGCATGACTAGACGTGATCGCGATCTTTTATTGGGGGTGAGAGGTCCAAGCCTCACAGGGGGGGAATGATCACCACCCCATGTTCAGCCTATCACCCGGAGATTCTAGTATATCTTTCATCTAGTTCCTACTGCGCTGTTTCTGCGCCTCGTTTCTACCTTAATCCGTCCAGCTACTAGTAAGCTGCTAACAACAGCCACATGTTAAGCTGGTCGGTAGTTAGGGACCGTACTAGAGAAAGCACTACAGTAGTTGTATTCCTTCAGGCAAGGCACGTCCCATTCTCCTCATCTTTTCCCTCGTCAGATTAGCGCAAGGACTCGATGAACCAACCAGGGGGGTGGTTATCTAAGTATACCTTAAGCACCCTCATGTCGCAGATGTCCCAAGAGCTACCTCAATAAGGGTGGGAGGGACCCTTGTACACGACAGCAATAGCCCAACCAAGGGTTCAACTTACTGTACCTACCATCGTACCAGCCTCCTTTTCCTACCGACAGCAGCCAGCCAAGTTCCTGAGTAAACAAGTTCAGTTTTTTTTACCATCAGACTTCCAACAAGCACAAGCGACACAGCCGCGCTACGCCGCCCCTCTCGCCACCACAGCCGCATTTCACCAGCCAGCACTCTACACCTACATAGTAACTCACACATCCATCCAAAAAAATGATCAATGATATCCATTCAATACCAAGTACCCTTAATTAAACAACCACTACCTCATCTTCAAACTCCAGCTACATACAGCGTAGCCCGACAGGAGATTTCCCTCTTCCCCATGTCCTTCCTCCTCCACCCCCCCCGTTCGGAACAATAACAATAGGTTACCGGAGTGACAGACGGGACGCCCCTCCGTAGTGGTGCGGTTCTTTCATTTGGTTCCCTTACCCTTTCCGAAGGTGGAGCCTTTTTTTTTTTTTTTTTCGCCAGTATCCCCGAGAGGCTGAGGACGAAAGCCTACTGACCTACCTCCACTTCCCCCCCCCCCCTCCCCACTCTGTAATCCGTAACTCCCCTAGCTTAAGTAGGTGGAGGGGAAGGAGGAGGAAGAGTGGCCCCATTCCGGTGGTGATGGACTGATAGATAGACAGACAGTCTAGGTACTTCGTACGTACGGTAGTGCTCCGCTCTGTACTGTGCCTAGACTAGGGAGAAGGGAGGATAGATAGGGGAAGGGGAAGAAGGAGGAGAGAGGGTCAAGGCCAAGCAAGCAAGCAAGGTTACTCCATACATTGGGGGTCTACCGTTTGGAAAGGGGGGGGAGGGGGGCACTGAATTTGACAGTCAGGTACGGAGTAACTTAGGCTGTCGAGCTGAATGGACTTTTTTGTCGGTATTAAGCAAACGGTGGGTGGTCAACTAAGGTCATACATAGTATGTAAATCAGTAAGCAGGAGCAATGTTGGTAAGCGTTAGTAGAAGAGTAGTTTACTCCCTCTCTGTACTTGGGATGATGTTCAGACTTGGGATTAAGCTGGAATACCTAGTGATTATACTTCCCCAGTGACGGGATAACTACGGAGTCCTGTGTTGTGTTAAAGTATCTACAGATCAGCAGCTAGCTTCACTAAGGTACTGTACTGTGCAGCTTTGGTTACCCACCTGGCTAGCTTACCTACCGTATAACTACTACTCAGGTCACGCTCACTGATTACCGAATTGGGAAAAAGTAGACTGGCTTGGCGGTGCTGGAAGATCACTACCAAACTACAGAGTACACCGTAGCACCTCAAAGCTAACCACATTCCCACTGAGATTGCCTGTGAGATTGCCCCCCAGAAGCAGCAGTAGCCCGACGGCTCTGTCATGCAGTGAACCCTGGATCGCGCCCTGGTGGCTGGCACGCTCGCCGCTTCACCGCCAGATGCCTCGGGGTCGGTCACGATGCGGTGCGCAAGACGCAACACCTAGGATTTTGCTACAACAAACGGTGAAACCCTTTAGGTCAGAAAACTCGTTATTCAATTCAATGCTTAGATATGCTAATGTAACACATGGATATCAGTACAGAGGGACTCAATCCCCAGTAGATCTACGTATAGGAGCGTACGGCCTCGCTGGCTGACTGGCCCTTTAGCCGGTCACCTTGAAGATGGACTCGGCAAGGCGCTTGACGTTGCCCGAGGTGATACCAGCCACGGAGATACGGCCATCCTTGGTGGCATAGACGGAGTGCTCCTTGGCCAGAACGTCCATCTGCTCGGGCTTAAGACCAGTGTAGGCGAACATGCCAATCTAATACGAAGTTAGCTGCCATCCGACGTCCCAGGTAATCCGGAGGTGCTTACCTGGCTGGTGATGTGAGACCAGTCGTGCTTGCTGCCAAGCTCCTCCAGGTTCTTGCGGAGCAGGGCACGCATCTCAATGATACGGTCAGCCATGCCCTTGACCTCGCCCAGCCACTGCTGGTTCAGCTCGGGGTCGTTCATGATGGTGGAGGCGACACGAGCACCGTGGATGGGAGGGTTGGAGTAGAAAGGACGGATGAGGATCTTGATCTGAGACTCGACGCGCTTCTTCTCCTCGGCGGACTCGCAGACGAGGGAGAAAGCACCAACACGCTCACCGTAGAGACCCTACATACAGAAAACGCATTAGTGATGAACAACCAGAGAAGAAGCTTCCGAGCCTACCATGTTCTTGGCGAAACTCTGGCACAGAGCGATGTTGTGGCCCTCCTTGACGAAGTGACGGGGGGCGAAAGCATCCTGGTCAGCGTTTCCGCTGGCAAAGCCCTGGTAGGCCATGTCGAAGAAAGCAAAGTGGCCCTTCTCCTTCATGACATCGCTGATCTTGCGCCACTGGTCCTGAGTGGGGTCGACACCAGTGGGGTTGTGAGCACAGGCGTGAAGGAGGATAATGCTGTTCTCGGGAGCAGCCTTGATGTCGGCAAGGAGACCCTCGAAGTCAAGACCGATGGTGTCCTTGTTGTAGTAGCGGTACTGGGCGACCTCGATGCCGGAGTCCTTGAACACAGCACCGTGGTTGGCCCAGCTGGGGGTGGGGAGGTAGATCTTCTTCGCGTGGGGGTAGAAGCGCTGGAGGAAAGCACCACCGATTCTCAGGGCACCGGTACCGGAAATGGTCTGGGTGATGACAAGGCGGTCCTCCTTGAGCACGGCGGAGTCGGAGCCATAGGCGAGCTCAGCAGCGGCCTTGGTGAAGGAAGGGATACCAGTGATGCCGGCATATTCCTTGTCCTGACGCGAGGCAACGACCTTGTCCTCGGCGGCGCGGACCGAGGGAAGAACGTAAGGCTTGCCCTTGTCGTCACCTGTATGAACACCCCGGATTTAGCTAATGATGCCAAACGAGACCTATCTGAAGGGATACAATGATGGTTGAACTGATAAAGAGATCGGAAATGATGGGAATGCTTACGGTAAGCACCAACACCGAGGTTGATCTTCTCCTTGAAGCTGTCCGCCTTGAAGGCCTCGGTGATACCCAGAATGGCATCCTAGAAACCCAATGCATCAGCAATGGCTGCAGAAATAGCTCCTCGTCATTGAAGTACTTACGGGAGGACCCTGGGGAACCTTGGACCAGGCGGAGGCCTGTCTGGCACCGACGACAACGGTGCGCATGCTGGCGTCGCGCGCAACAGCCTGGCGGCTGGCAACTCGGAGAGTGGACAACATTGTGCTATGTGATGAGGGGAAGAAAGATGTTATCAACCGAGAGGGAAAGAAGAGCACCCAGGGATGTTAAGGAGGAGAAGAAGATCGGAGCACAGATGATGAGCTACCGGGGAATGGAGGAGGGTATGGGGAAAGGATAAATAAGAAGTAAGAAGGTTAAGAATGGGCGCAATGATGTGTTTTATTTTTGACTCATGGGAACTAACTAGGGAGTTTCCGGGGAGCAACGCGGGCGGGCTCGGATTGGCCCTGCCCTCCACACCTCAGCCGGTTGGGGAAAAGCGCATGGCGGGCAGCCTTTGGAGCCCTGTTGACCTGCTAATTACATACTATGGTACTTCTACCGACAGCTGTTGTAGGTGGTTATTTTCTTGGTGCTCATACTATGTATCATGTAGAATGCTAATTGAATTGAATCTATTCAGATTTAAGCTCAATTGCTTCCAATTTATCCCCTCACGCGTTCTTGTTACCGTAGATGGTTCTGTGCGGAGCAAAGTGGACAGACTACTGACTGTACAGTACTTACAGTAACGGATGCCGATGGTCAATCTGCAGCAGGTGCCGGGCCGGCTACATTAGAGTGTGAGATTCGGTGGTCGGCCTTTGCCATCCATCCTAACATCGCCCCATTAAACATCAATGATGATATGATGGTAGATTGACGCTGGCTTCCCCTCTTCCGTGACCCCGTCCCGCTTTTCGGTGAACTGTTTGAGAAGGAAATAGCGGCTCACTGCATGGTCTGAGGCCGTCGACTTGCCCGCCAGCTGGCTGGCCTCGGATCTTCCCCTCACGAGGAGTTGGGGTAAAGGTAAATGACCCTTTCTTATTCAACTTGCTCGGTCGCACATGTAGTCAGCCATTCACCCCCAGATGTGGTTCATTGTGCATTGTATTAGGGTCTGTGATAAAACAGAAGGAAAAAAATATGAATAGGCTTTATGGGAATTAGCTTTACACAGGTGCGAGT